TAACCCCAAGAGCAACAGATCCAAATCTCCTGGTGTGTGGAAAGCCACCCAGCATCCACCACCAAACAAGAGGTCTAACTCTCTGCAAGCTGGAGAGAGGTTGGTTTTCCAATTACTTTTCATATCTTGAGGTCAGCAGGACTTTAAAAAAGCCAGGTGAGACTCCCAGTGATTCAAGTGGCTTAAGAGTCTAATCCCTTGACTGAAGTATTGTGTGCATATATCTTCTCATAGACCATTACTTTTATAAAGTTACACAGCAAAATTTCCTCATTGTCCTCTATTCATCACCCAAACTTACTATTAGAAACCAAATTCTCTGCATCATCTGAAAACACCCCAGACCAGCAGCTTTCAAACTCAAACCAACCTAAAGCATTTCAGGGCTTTGCAGTTTCTCATGTGGCTCTTCAGAAACCACACTCAGCTCCATGTTGCCTGGATACAGGTCCTTCAATACCTGCCCAGGTTCAGTGAAATGAAAATTTGTCCCTACAGATGGCAGTAGCAGCCTGACTGGAGCACACTCCTGTGCACGGGGCAGGGTAATATTGCACTGAGATCCAGAGACCAGAGTAACAAAGAAGATGCAAAGCCTCACCCGGTACAGAGGGATGCACCTAACTTGCTTGGGTGCTTTTAGAAAACTCAGAGGATCATCACAGAATCCCAGACTGGTCTGGGTTGGGAGGGACCTTAAAGATCATCCAAGTTCCAACCCCTCTGCATGGGCAGGGACACCTCCCACCAGCCCAGGCTGCTCCAAGCCCCATCCAACCTGCCCTTCAACACCCCCAGGGATGGGGCTTCTACAGCTTCCCTGGGCAACCTGGGCCAGTGCCTCACTTCCCTCACAGTGAAGAATTTCCTCCTAATGTCTAACATAAATCTCCCCTCTTCCAGTTTGAATCTATTACCCCTTGTCCCATCCCTCCCTGCCCTTGTCCCAAGCCCCTCCCCAGTTTTCCTGTAGCCCCTTCAGGCACTGGAAGGTGCTCTAAGGTCTCCCTGGAGCCTTCTCTTCTCCAGGCTGAACAACCCCAACTGTCTCAGCCTGTCCTCAGAGGAGATGTGGTAAATCTTTCAAAGCACTTGATCAGCCTCATGATTATATTTGAGCCCTTGCAGGTGCCAGCAATAACATTACAGATCCTGTACAGCCAAGGCAAGAGAAAACCCCACAGCTGAATGACAGATGCCTCAGCCTGAGGGCTCTGTGTTCATTTGCATAATTGATCATATTGTATATTCACAAAATGCTTTCAATTTCTCAGAAACTTAATGCACTTGAACATTTGGACTAAACCCTGGATATAAAGCCCAGTTCATGACTGTGTGTGTGTCACTCTGGGAGAATGAATGTCATCCCTGGGCAATGCCACACGGGATCCCCCCAGGCTGCAGCTCCTGCAGGGCTGCCCTGGATGGTCCCTGGCAGGCAGCATTTCCCCACAGCTACAACCTCTGAAGTATAGAAATGGAGCCAAGAAACCTTTAATGCCCATTTGAAATGCTTCCTGCACTAGACTCTCCAGAAGAAGGCAGGAGCTTCCAAGGCTCTGGTCAAACACCACCCAAATTCCCTGACCTGCAAGGGATGAACCTGCTGGGACCTGGCACACAGTGACCAGTGGGTGTCCCTGACAGGGTGTGAGGGGAAAAGCTGGAGCCAAACAGCTGGTCTTCTTAAAAATCTTCCCTAAAGAGTTCTGTGTACTAAAACAAGGCTTACCCAGCTCTCATCAAACTTGGCTTGGTTTGTAAGTCTCAAGCCAAGGTTGAAGAAAAATATTCAGCTGGAAACATGCAGGGAAAAAGAGTCTTTTTCCTGCACTTCAATAGTAGAAAAAATGAAACAATTTGGTACAAACCTTAGAAAAATAAAAAAATAGCACACAATCCACTGGGGTTTAAACAAACAAACAAACAAACAAAAAGTCAGAAATAAACCCAATAGGACAGAATACAAAGGGATGGACAAATGCAAAATGAGAAGTGGAAGGAGAGCTGGAGCTATAATGAGTAATGACCTATCAACACACTCTAGGATGCACACAGAATTTCAGCAAAACCAGAAATCACATCTGCACTAAATATGGGCAGCTCTTGTTGGAAAGCACAGAGCAACGTTGCAGGACCCTGCAGGGCCCTGGTTTGGCTGTCACACACCCACCCACTCAGTTCCTCACCACCACCAACTGGCTACTCTAAATAGTAGCCACTAATTTTAGCAGCGTGTTCAGGATTAGCAGCCCAATATTTTCCTCAGTTAATAAAAGAATTTCACTGGGCACCATTAAAATATTCCAACTGAGAATGATCTAAATTTTCTGAATTCCATAAAAGATGCCAGGAGAAATGTTACCACCACTAGCAAGATGAACAGTGCCATGCAGCTCCAGAACCATCCATGCATTTCCATAGAAACTTCTCTTCAGTTTACATACTTTATTTTTCAACTGTGCTTCACTAGAGAAAGTGCTTGTGTGAGCATATGTATATTTTTTTCAAAAAGAAGGGTTTCTGACATGATACTGCCACAAGGAGGTCCTGGCCTTGGTCCTTATAGCTTTGATCTGGGGTGGGGAGAAAAACAGTCTGCCCAGAGAATGATAGGTTCTCTCCAGAAGCAAAACTCTACATGGATACTTAGGGAAACCCAAATTCCTTAAATAGAATTTTATTCCATGTCTGATTTTAAAGTTGGATTTTTCCAACCATTAATTTGAACTGTCATTCTTGGGAAGTCCCTAAATTGTTAGATGTCCTTGAAAAGCACACCCTAGCTGTCCTGGAGTGAAGCCAGGTTAGAGGGAAGTAACTTCTTCTTTTCTTCCCAGTAAATGTAATTCCCTTGCTGCTGGGGAGCAGGTCTGTGTGTCTGTGATGGCCGTCGGTGAGAAAGTCATTAGCTTAAAAATAATTCCTCACAGACTCAGTGAGATATTCCAACAGATATTGCAGTGACTCCTGGGGTAAATAAAAGGACAGTTTTATCTTTGAGATGGGAAAGAAAGAGGACGTGCACTAAATGGCTCCTGTGGGTTCTCAGGGACTAATTGTTAAGCAGAAGGATTTATGACCAAAGGATGGGAGAATGGGGTGATCACTGTGAGGCAATTATCTATACACAAAGAACTTGAATACTTTGGCATTTTTATAACCACTACATTATTTATTTTACTATATACTCTCTTGCAATACCATTCTCCTAGTTACAATCACACACTACTTCCTCATTTATTTTTTTTCTTCACTTCATATAAAATTCAAATAGAACAGAAGAACACTTTGAAATGAGTGGAAGAACAATAGGGCCCATTCAACAACTGAGTATTTAACTTTTATGCTTTTGATCAATATTGATGTGACAAGGTATTCATTACTCTTCTCCACCATTTTAATGCTGTTGTTCTTCCCACAGCCTGATCTGTACTTTTGTGTGTGTAATTTATAACAGTTTCCATGGAAAAGAAGGATTCAAAGCAAAAAGTGCTGATGCAGCACGTGGAGCCTTCTACCAATCCACAAATCTTTTCTAATGTTCATCTTAAACAGAAAGCAATTCTGAGAAACAAATTAATGATATAAATCACATCATCATTACTCACATGAAGATACTCTGTGGTAATTCTTTCAGAAAGCTACAGTGAGGAGCTAAAGGAACCCTGTATGGAGAATGCCTGGTTCTAATTAAATGATCTAAAAATAGAGTTGTGCATACATCTAGGACCAAGCCATCTGTGTTATCTCTCTGAGATAAGCTGTTATCCACCCCCAATGATATCCCTTTCATCACTGCAGATATTCAGAACTAGGACTGGCCCTTCGTTCCCATTTAGGAAAGGGAAAAGAAGAAGGAAGCAAAATTTTCATCCAGGCAGGATTTTTATGAAAGTCAGATCCCTCATTTTGCAATCTCTTGTCACACCAACCTCAGTCCATCAGCAGCACAATTCAAAACCATGTCCCACAAACAGGGGCAGGAGCCAAGCAGGACTTCTCCATGAAAGACTTTCCCAGTGCAATAAACTGTTTATAATGGGCTGTTTGCATTGCTCCTGTGAAAGGTTTTTCCTTCTCTTT